CAGAAATTGGGACAGGTGTTGACTGCCTCTTCAATTGTCATGTTTCTTTCCGTGTAGGGACACTTTGCTTCCAAAACAGAATCTTCATCTACTAGGCCATCAGGGGAGGCACCAATAATTCCAGAAGCATCCAGCCATATTCCAGTTTCCAGGACAGTCTTTCCAGTTAACCTTGTAAATGCTCTGAGAGCTTCTGTTTCATTGTTTACCCCCCACTGTACTGCCTTAACTCGGGACAAATCTTACTCCCCAAGGAGTTGTTTCAGAAGGGATGGAGTGACTCTTTTTGCCTGCAAAACAGAGCCAAAATTGCTTGCAGTCGGTCTTCCTCTTCTTGCAAGATGCCAGGTTGGGTTGTCTCACTAACCCACAGTCATTTCACTGACTGAGACGATATCCCTTTCGTCGACCTTGGCTTTACGCACCAAGCAATCCAAGAAGAAACTTGTCTGAATAAATAATTTCTTCAATTGTTGGAATGGGCAGTTTGGCTTCGGGTGCTGGTTCAGGGCTCATAAGCCAGTACAGACCAGTGAATCTACCATACTCTTTCAAGTCTTCATAGAGTGCAGACCGATCTAATGCATCAGGAGTTCTAGAGATCGCCACATACTTCTTTGGCAGGGGAAACATTTCTTCGACTGCCAGCAGTGACAGGGAGCTGTTTGACTTCCTCTTCCTCCATTGGCACTCGATGTCCGTGCGGCTGAGGTTGTGAATGCCGTGGATAAAAAGTGCAGCTGCGTGGCTGCATTTGAATTTACCCCTTGGACATTCACACTCCGTGGATTTTATGTCAAATTGCTCATTTAGGTATATCTAAAAGGGTTCAGATGAGAAGTACAACATAAGAAAACTAAGTCAACGTAACTTCTCTGATAGACGATCGTAGCTTTACGATTTTCGGACGAAAAAGGCCTACACGCTTTAATTGTTTCAAGGAGCCGTAGAAGTTGAAATAAATATAAACTGACTAACGCTGAATTGTGAAATTTAAGGAGAAAACAAGAGGATGCGTGCTGAATATCTACAAATATTACTTCGGCAACTGTTTAAAAACGATCGCTCTACTCACCGTGACTTTGTAGACCTTTTTTTTCATGCTTGCATGGACCTCTCCGCGTAGAACACCCTGTTGGTAACTGAATGACTCAATATGATCCGATTTATAATGATTTTCTCCCCGCTCAATGGATTTTTTTTCTTCAAAGAAGAAAGAGATCAACGAAGCGATTGAAAGCGACGCCATTTTTCTCGCTGAGCGCGTTTGTTTAGAACAGAAAATTCTGCTTCCATGACAACGTGACGTCAAAGCTTTAGAACTCTATGTGAACTCAGTAGAGTTTGTGAAAATTAAGGCGTTGGTCTTTATAATTCTTTGCAGAATTTGCATCTCGTAGCAACTCGATACGTTTTTCAAACTTTTTCGCTTTCCACAATGACTTGTTCCTAACCTGCGAACAGACGAATTTCACGCCATTTCACGATTCTTTCTTCGTGCGGAAACTTGACGAAAACAAAAACAACAGGTTCGTGCTGGAGACAAATAACTCTAAAATTGCGCAACACGCGAATCAGTTTGGCCATGACATAGACTTTAATTCCGCCATCATTGAACACAAGGCGGGTGTTTATCATAAGGAACTTTTTCTCGAGGTCTGATATTCTAATAGAGATCGCAATGCGGCCAACGAGCATTTTGACACTGGAGATATTTAAGCCCCGGCTAAACGATCGCAACATGTCAACGTAACATATCGCAACATTGTTGGGCGCAACATGTTGCGTGCGTTTGGCCACCGTGTTGCGATGTGTTGCGACATGTTGGGTGTTGTTGCCTCAAGTTTGAAAATGGTCAAATTTGAGCCAACAACACCCATCATGTCGCAACATGTCGTAACACGGTGGCCAAATGCACGCAACATGCTTCGCTCAACAATGTTGCGATATGTTGCGTTGACATGTTGCGATCGATTGGCCGGGGCTTAATACAAGGCCTCTTGCGTAATCTGTTGTGTCGCGGCAGCTGTACATGTCGTTTGTTCCATTTTGCTAGCGTACTAGCA